TTCATCATGTGCCTTTGCTCCAACACCTCCCCACTCCGTCTCCGGCGAGATGCCATCACAACTATGACTGCCTCGTGTCTTAGACAGATATGATTGGATCATGCCAACATGCTCCGACCACATGAAGCATGAAGCTGTCGTGGGACGTGGGAGATGCCGTGTGAAAGTATCTTCTACCACGGCTTTGTTGGAGCAACGGCTTCACGGCACACGACCGTGGCGATGGTTGGCAGTTGAACAGCCACAGCACAGCCGCATCTCAATCAGAAGCGTGCTTCTTTTCAACCTTCCTGCTTTGGAAAATTCAAGTTCCAGAAACTCCCGGGCTCTGACAGACGACAGGCCTTTTTGTGCCTAGCAGGACATGAGCATGATGCCGCGCACCATCTTTCTGAACGTCAAGGCCGATGAAAAACGAACTCCGACTCTTGCCCGACCTGAAAGAACCCTCGAATCTCCCTCAACTACAAAGGCCGAGTCCTTCACATGCCAGTCAGATGGCCCAATGCCTCGGCTCAAGCAGACCATACCAAGGAAGGCAGAGGGGCGTCTCAGCCGAAGGCTTGCGAGAAACTGGCCTGCTTCTCCCTCCCTCCCTCCATCCCTCCTTCCGGGCCCTAGCACACTCCCACATGCAGGGACACCCGATTACAAAACGTTTTATCGAAGGTCGATGTCGCATCCGGACAATTACATCTTTGTGTCCCTGACAATGATTTGTGTCGAGCTTGCTTCTCGGCAGGACAGCTTTTGTTGCTTCTGCCACGGTCGCAAGTTGCCTCCACCAGAAGCTTCCGTTCCGACTCTAACAATCCAGCATTCTAAAGGGAATCGACAGGGGAGCTGGCAGTGCGGAAGAGGGCACGCAGACAGTTGGAGCCACGAACCTCGGGGGCAGGAGAGGAAGAGCGGTTGGCTTCACCCACATGTGTCAGAGCAGTCAAACTTGCAGTCTGGCTCGTGTGCAGTGTGCAACATCAGGCTTGGCTGGTCACGGGCGCAACAACAGCAGACACCAACGTTCTTAGCGCAGACACTCCTATCAGTCCTATCCAAGACACTTCAGCACGTCATGGCAATAAGTGGCACAAGGACGTCATCTGGTTGGTCAGCTCGCTTTTCTGAGCAGTGTGTACTCTGAACAGCCTGGGGCCAATGCTAGTGCAACATCACTCTGTGCATCATGGAAGACCTGCGCGTGATACCATGCAGAGCAACCCTAACTGCATGGGCTGGCAGGTAAGCCATCTGCAGGTGAACACAGTCTCAAATCTCTAAAACTCAGCAGCACATCTTGCGCCCTTCTCACGAAACTGCGCCTCTGCTCCGAAGAAAAAGAGGCTCTCCGCTGCAAGGTCAGCCTCTTGAACGCTCGCGAAAGTCTTCTTCTATTTCTTTGGCGGTGCGCTTCTTTCAGGATGCTCGCACCCACGTCTTTCTGTGTCCGCAGACACGACCCTCAACGTACACATTCCCAAAAGCTGATAGTGCTGCACAGCGCAAACGAACCCACGAAGCTCTCTCTCTCTCTCTCTCTTTCTTTCTTTCTTTCCCAGGGTATAAGGGGCGAGTAAAGCCCCCCGGCCAAGAGGCCCCCCACCTGTTATGGGTCTCTCTCTCTCTCTCTCTCTCTCTCACTCAACTCGACATCCATCTGAGTGCTAAACCCTTCGACATGCTCATGTCCTACGAAACAACAGGGACTCAAGCCAAGACCCAAACGTGATGACCTACTCTTTTTCACTCCTACGGTGCGGACACCTCACTGAGCCTGGTAGCGGGAGAGCGCACTGTTTGTTGGAAGAATCTGAGTCGTTGCTAAAAGCCTCACAGCTCCGTTCGACACACCACAAAGGTCCGACACGAAACTCGGGAAGCTTAGAGCTTAGGAGATCCTTTTCGACGTCCTTCGATTCTTGCTCCATGGCCTCGGGACGCCTCAGCTGCAGCGAAAGGCGAAGAAGGAGCTCGAGCCCTGCCTGGCATTCGATGATTATATAATATATAATATATAGTGTAACGCCTGTAGTTGCTATAATGCTGTTCTGGCTTGTGCTAAAAAAAAACCTTGCTGTTGCTGCAGTTGCCGGCTTCAACCAGGCCGACTGCCCACCTGGGCCTCGGTGTTGGCCTGAGGGTCCATTTGTCGCCCGAAGTGCAGCTTTCCAAAAAGGCCGACGTGATCGGAGCATGATCTCTACAGTCACTCCCGACATGTTCTTGATAATTGCTGCAACCTACTTCACCTCATGTCTTGAGGCTGAGCTGGTGGCACCACCCTCTGAGGCCAGGGAGAACTCCTGGCTGTACATTAGCTCGGCATGAACCACAGCACCTGAAACACTGCAAGGCAGCCAATGCACCCACCATCTCTCAGCAGCCACAATGATCTTGACTTCCCTTCGAAACGATTGGTAATTGCAGCTGGTGCCCGGTCCAGCACATTCCGGAACGGCTGGCCCAGGCGCTGAAGGAATGCCTGCATGAGTGAAAAAGGACACGAGAGGGGTCTATGGAGGGTCTTGGATTTCCGCGTTTAGCGTCTAAGTTTAAGTGTAGGTGAACTAAGTTGTATGGAGTCGGCTAGGCTTACGGCAGAAGTTCGAACGAATGGCTTTTGAGTTGTTCCGCTTTGTTCTGCCAGCTGATTTCATAATCATGCTTTCTTGCGAAATGGCTGATGTCATCATGCTGTCTCGGGAAATGTAGCATACAGTGTAACACGCCCGAGTCGCACGGCGGAGCCCCGAAGCCCTCAAGCCTTGGTGCCTGAACCCCAAGCCCTGTAACGTCCAAGTGGCTGCCCGAAGACGCTGTGGAAGCCTAAACCCTAAACCCTAAACCCTAAAACCCTAAACCCCTATGGAAGCCTTCGACTGCTTATCTTTGACAGCTTCGGGAGACTTGAACTTCAGGCCTGCGCCTGCCCGGCCAAGCTCGTGCACCTGAAGCTTCAGCGGTAGGACGTGGCAGTGCTGCCATGCTTCATTGTAGCCACTATGTTAGCAGATAGCTATATATAGTGCTGCATAGAGACCATCTACGGTCACGAGGCTGTACTGTCTGACTGAAGGAATTTAGCGGCTCGTTCGTTCCCTGCCATGGTATCCTTCTATTCACGACCTACGTTGGCATGGGGTGGGCATGTCATTCGGTACGTTCGCACTCGAAAGCTATAAACATGAAGCAGACACTGCCACGACATGTTCTACGATACCTCCACAACAGCCCACCTCCGAGGCTCCGGCCCCAGGCACAAGGAGTTGTCCCTCCAGCCTTTCCGCGCAAGTTGAAGGAAGTCCTGAACATTTGGGTGCAGGGCAGGCTAGGAGGACGAAGCAGGAGCCCCTGGCCGCTTAGCATGCCTCAAAATGTAAGACTTCGATTTTGTAGTGGAACAAAGCGGGCGCACCCTTCCCAGCCCGTCCCCATTATCTCTCAGAACCTTAAACCGCTGCACATGATTTCTTAAAGGGATTGAATGTGGCTGCATACTGTTCTGCGGTCTCAAAAAAGGTCGACCCTGCGACAAGCCGACTGTGATAGGTGCATGCTGCATGCCATCGCGCTCCTCCCACCGTGCCCGGGAGATTCCTTCGATGAGGCTGCCCGAGCCTTAGGTGGGCCGCTTCACGCCACTGAGCAGGTGCAGTTGCACGGAAACCGCAAATCTTTGAACTGCAAAAGCCCGAAGTGCCTCGCCCAAATGCGCGAGACATGATGCCTGATGCTTTCCCTCAGCAATGCTCGGAATGGGACTCGGCGTCTTGATCTCATCTTGTCTGATGCTTTCAAAGACGCGAGACTGGACCTGTCGTCACTCAGGTTCGTGGCGACGTTGCTGTCTCTGAATCTGGCGAAGGAGACTTGCATCTGGCTGAGGCGGAAGCGTCTTGCGGAATATCTTCCCCTTCATTGATGCCACGGTTGTTGCTGATGAAGTCCTCACTGCAGCTACGAGCCACCCGGAACACAGATGGGTCCTCAGCGAGCTGCCCTGCATTCCCTGCACACGAGCGCTTTTGCACCCTGGCACCGAGAAGCTGAATTCCTTCGTCCACCAGTGGCCTCGCTCGTGTGGCACCGTGGCAACACGAATTCCACCAAAATACGTACTGCAGTTTGGTCTATCTGACCCAACCCCGTGTCATCGCACTGTATGAGCAATATACACTCACTAATTGATGCTCCTAAGCAGCCCTGCTTTAACACTAATATGAACCCTACCCTACCTCATTTCCACTGACAACGACAGGTCTTCTGGAACCTACTGCACTCGGCGCCCCGAGCTGTAGCCGACTGCGGCAGGCCCTCGACGTGCTGCCCAGGAGCACACCCCCTCGGAAGAGCGAGACGTGCACAACGAGGCCCAGAATGCTGGCAGCAGGCCTGGGGAAAGCATGGAGTTGAACGATGCATGGGTCAGGACCCCAATGCTGCGTTTTGAAGCCCGAATCCTGAAGAGTCCTGAACATGACCAGCACGCATCCAACAATCTCCCCCGTCCTTGCTGGCAAGCGGAGATCTTGCAGCTGAAGCCTCGCCCTCGCAGCTCCAAGGCCGAGCCCACCTCAGACGCTCTCAGGTTCCCCCGCTAGCGGAACCTAGAGCCTCCCCAAGCCGGGCGCCTCGTCCAGGGGCTGAGCTTCCCCAAGCACTCAGCATCTCTTTTGAGAAGAAGGGTCCGAGGTCCAGCGTGTCCTCTGGAGAACTGGCTCCCACTCGAGACTCCCCGGCACTACAAACAGGAGCGGATGAGGCCCGATGAGGCCCAGGCCAGCAGCACTGGGCCTTGTCTTTCAGATCCACACCCGAGCCCTGAGCGGAGCCCAGGCCTGCCCGAGGTGGCTGCAAGGGCCGCAACGTTGAGGCACCGATCTGCTTCTCTCTCTAAGATCCTGCGCAAGAATGCTTGGCATGATTTGCCCAGACCCCTCTCAGGTCTTGGCACCAGCTGAGTGTGAAGCGGCTGCAGCAGCTGCCGCTCAAACGCCTCTCTTTTTTCCATCGCCGGCGGCAGCTCACACCAGGCACTGAGGGCCCGGCGATGGCCGATTGCTGGTGGAGCAAGCCCCTGCACCAGGGCAAAGCGCAATGACACAAGAGGCAGTTCTCCCTCCGGGTGGCCCCTGTGCCTGAGGGCCAACACCGAGGCATGAGCCACCCGCTCACCGACGATCCGTTCCGGGGCATGTCCGAAGATGTGCAGTCCCAGTGGCCTTCGGAAACGTCATGGCAGGAGCTTTTGCCCCCGAAAAACACAGACAAAGCCTTCGGAGAAGCTTCTGGAAGGTGAATTCACGGAGGACCGTCCAAGCCGCCGCACCTCCATCTATATACATGCTTCAAGAGCAGAAGCAAATCTCCATGCGAGGCATGCAGCTCTGACAATAGCAAGCATTGCGTTGTGCCTCGGCCGCTCTCCTCGCAGCTGAGCAAAGTGGCGGTGAGGCCAACGGCATCCACCCGAACCTCGGAATGACCTTGCTTCACAGCACATTCTTCTTTGGAATTCCCTGTCTACGCCGGAAAGTTCAGGGACCCAGGCGAGCAGACTGAAGCAGCTGAAGTGATCTGGCCCACTGTGAGGCTACCTCGAAGTTGCTGAAAAGGCTGTTAATCATGATGGAGTTCGGCTGCAAGAGGCCTCAGCCAAAAAGGATCTGTTGTTTTATTGATACATGCACACACAAGCTTGCAGCTGGCTGTCGCTAATGCGGTTGAGCTACAGTCGCCCATGTCTGCGAGAAGGGCCACAGCATCTCGCCACATCGTTGCCTTTTCGAAGCAGCTGGCCATCATGCTGAAGGAGGCGAGGCTGGGCAAGCCGGGCATCGTCCTGCGGTGTATGACAGCTCTCGATACGTTGGTAGAGTACGCAGACTTACAAAAGAGAGCAGCGGTACTGAATTGTCGCCGCACACAGTAGCAGAGCATATAAGTGGGTTGGGCCAGCTATGGAAGTCGAACGCATGGCACTAAGTGCCACGACGCCGTCGCATGTGGAACGGGTGCACTTAATAAAGAGCCAACTCCCATGAGCATGCAACTACGACACGCGTGGACCAAAATCCCGCTTACGAACCAAAATCCCTGGCCCGCTCCTGAGCACTGACAGCGCCCTCTCCCAGCAACCACTGCGTAGCCTTGGGCTCTCAATGCCATATCTTCCCAAAGACGCGGCTTTCGTCTGTTGGGGGGCTTTCTGGAAACTCCCCAAACCCTAACAGTGCAGGAAAACGCAAGAAACCCTCAAAAAAAGCCCTTAAAGTCCTGAACCCCCAAAAGGCCCCAAAAAGCCCCGAAAAGCCCTAAAAAGGCCCTGAAAGGCCCTGAAAAGCCACCCTTCCCCCCTCGTTGCGCCGCAGCTGCAGGCCGGCCGCCAGGGCCTCGAGGCCCAGGCGATCCAGGAGCTTGGACCTGGGCTCATGACACTCTATTCCCGTAGGGGTTGAGGGTTTAGGGTTTAGGGTTTAGGGTTTGAGGGTTGAGGGTTCAGGGTTTAGGGTTTAGGGTTTAGGGTTTGAGGGTTGAGGGTTCAGGGTTTAGGGTTTAGGGTTAGTGTGGCTACAAGATTTTGATACAGCAAAACCCTAGGGTTAGGGTTAGGGTTAGGGTTAGTATACTATATTCTATGATATTGTATTAATACTGATACTATGAGTATTATACTAACAGTGAAATGAAAATTGTTCAGTCCTAGGGCTCAATTTGACCCCACTCCATTTACTCCCGTGGGGTGCGCGGGATTCTGAGCGCGACCGCGCCGCTCTCTTGACCGTTCCACCAGCTGCAACATGGCAGGCCACTGGCCTCGGCAAGGTCTCTTGAGTAGGCCGTTCGCCTGATGTGTCTCACTCACTTACCCTCTTGGAGACTAAATCTCTGCGCGTGCCTCCACTGCGCCCCAAAGCGCGCAGGGCTGCAGTGACAGTGACGGCATTCGGCAGCGCCCGGTGGCGAGGCATCTCCTAGTTTGGGAGTGAGCTCCCCTCCGACGGGGAAGCACAGGTATTCCACTCCACTTCCACTGATAGCACATGATATAACATTGCAACTACAAACATTACATAGCAAAATATATACGATAACCTAAGTCTACTTTGGTATCACATAACATAACGGAACATAACATAACATAATCTGATAGCATGTAACAAAATGCAGTACAATACGATGCAACATAATCTGATCATTCTCGTATATTATCATACAACACAACACGATACAACACAGTACAATCAGTATAATACAGTAAAATTAATACAATACCAACGCCAACCAGACAGCATGTGTGTATATGCACATGTATGTAGGTATGTATGTGTATATATATATACATATGTGTGTGTGTGTGTGCGTGTGAATGTGTGTATATATGTATATGTATATGAATATGTATATATACATATACATATATATATATATGAATATGTATATATACATGTATGTATGTATATATATATATATGTATATGTACATATCTATATATATATGTATATACATATGTGCGTGTTTGTATGTGTATGTCTGTCTGTCTGTCTGTCTGTCCGTCCGTCTGTCTGTCTGTCTGTCTGTCTGTATTTACGTATGTATGTACGTACCAGCATATGTATTTTGTGTGCATGTGTGCAGCCATGCATGCATGCATGCATAGGTGCCTGTGTGTATCTGTGTCTACATGTGTATGTAAATGTATATGTATATGTATTTACAGATGTATGTGTATCCGTATTATCATACACTGCTGCAAAATACTGTTTTCGAACACTGTACAATATTATACGATATTATACGACATGGAAAGCATGTTTAACACTTGTCAAAGTATAGTACGTGTCGTTTAAATGCATGTGACACGATACACAGGATTCTCCTGCAACAGCGCCAGGACGCGTCGCCACTGCGTGGCCCGTTCGTAGGCCCACGCGAGGCTGCTGAAGCCAACCGTGTCCTGTTTTGCAGGGGGTGATGCTTGGGGGTTACTATCATATAATACAGCTTACTACAAGATACTATAACATAACATATAATATACCATAATATAACATATGGGCTGCGGCTTAGGGGTTCGCGTTTTGGGGCTGGGGGTGTGTACGCAGTTCAGAGCCTCAGCTCTTGGGCTGGCTGTTCCGATGATTCCGGGTCCTCTCCTTGTTGTAATCACTTTGCTTTCTCATGCTAATAGCAAAATAATATAACCGTAAGGGTAACAGAAGTGATAGTAGTAGCAATAGCAATATTAATAGACATAGCAAAAGTAAGAGTAACAGCGGTAGTTTATGGTTATAGTTACAGTTGCTATAGCGACAGTAGTATACAGCAGTAGTAACAGTAGAATTGCAATAATCACCGTTCTGGAAAATCTCACTGGTCTCGATTCTCCAGAGTTCCAGCATCCTGCTTTGTGCAGTTGTTGCTCTTTTGTGGTCGTTCTTTGTTCTGTTTCCTCTTACTCTGGGTGTTGATATCGGTCGCACAACTGTTGTGTCGATGTTCCTACCCTTGTGTCAGACACTCTGTTGACAAGAGGGATTTAGGGTTAGGGAAAGAAGGCTGACACACGACGTCGGTAGGTTTGGGTCAACTGAACTGCCATAGATCCTCCCAGAAGTACAGACGGGTGTTGCCTGCTAAAGTCCTTCATCCATGACACGTGTCCACAGAATCCTATGAAGCTCTCGAACCAGTCCAGGTGCAGACGTGCTGACTTCGCGCGCTGGAACAGTGCCACGGCCTGAACCCAATTCCAAAAGAGACGCTCTCGAGAGACTTCTGTGCACCTGGCAGCCGAGCCTGCGTCCAGCTGCTGCCCCGCTGCCAGGCTCCCAAGACCGCGCTGGTCGCGCGGACGTCCCTCGGACCGCTTGCCCGATCCCAGTGCCGACGAGATGTAGCAAAATTTGGGATGAGTCGAGCAGCAGTCCAAACATGCTCTCATAGGCCGCGAAGATGCGAACTGCCTCGCACATCGGCAAAGATGTGCTGTGGATCTACTCTTCTGCAAGCACAGAAGGCAGGAATCTCGCAAGGCCTGCTGCCACTTTGCTGCTTTTGTAAGGGAGGAGATCTCGCTTGTGAACCTGACAGGCTTTCACAACATTTTATTATACTATATTAAACTATGCTCTACTATATTATACTATATTATACTATACTATACTATATTATACTATACTATACTATATTATACTGTATTATACTATATTATACTATATTATACTATATTATACTATATTACATTCTATTATACTATCAGCTTCGGCTGAGGCCAAGCCTCTGTCTAACCTCCCGCACCTTGCAGCATTGCGGCTGGCCAGCAGGGCTTGGGACATGCGCTGGACAAGGCACCAGGACTTGCGGCAGTGCGTGTGTTTGGGTTTATTTCAACTACAAGTATCACGAACGAGAGTTTTGAAATAGGTTTAGGTTTCGTTATGCAACGATCCTGGTGAATTGTTTCCGTCTTACAGGACTTGAACCACATTTCCTATCTGCAAAGCATGCGAGTGCGGCCAAAGATCAGCGACATGCATCAGCAGCGTTTGACGCTAATAAGGACAGACAGCGTGTGGTCATGGATCTGCATGAATCTGCTAGCGGTCCTTAAGGCTCATCCGCTTCTTCAACTTGGGGTTGTGCTGGTCCTCAGCCCCGCAATACGCAGGAGCTCCTCATCACGCTCACGATGTTCCGACAAGTGAAAGTTCTGCCAAGGGCACGACAGAGTTGAGCAGGATCACACCTTGGCGTCGCTCTTCGACTTGCCCAAACAGACTTGAAGCAAACAGACTTGCTGCAAAGCTGCTGAAGGCAAATGTGTACGCCGCATCCGGGTGCTTCAGGTAACCTGATCCCTGCCGCAGATCGCATAGAGCAGTACTAGTCTGGGTACCGAGAGGAGCATCGTTGAGGGTGGGATCGCAATGATGAGATACGATCTGTCCAAACCCTTAGACCGTCAATCAGGTCAACTGAACGCGAGCTTACCATCCGCTCGTCCTCTTTGCCGGAGCTGCGGCAGTGCTCCACATGCTTCCGGTAGTATGCATGGGCCTCGGCTCCGCGTTTCGAGTTCAACTCAAAACATTGCAACTTCCGGGACAACCCCACGCCGCGCTCCATGTCAAATAGATTAAATAGATGCCGTCGGAAGCAGCTTCGGGGCCCTCAAAGAAACAGTTGAAAACCATGTCACAGCCCCGCGCAAAGATCCGCAGCACGCGGTCGATCTGCTGCGCCTCCTGTGCACACTCCCGGGGCTTTCAGCAACACTTTTCGGGTTTGACAAGGCACATCGAGTCCCGACGTCTGGCACATAACCTGATCGCTTTACTCACCCAAACTATCCCAAACTGCTCTCAACTCAATGCCAGAATAAGCAACATCCTGCACAGTCTTGGCTTGTGAGCAAGTCGTGCCGATCGAACCGAGCTCCCTCCTTCGGCAGGAGAAAGGCCTCAAGGAAGCTCCGCAAGGCCTCGTTGCAAGGAGAGGCGGCGCTTACCCCTGAGTCCATCCTCCCCCGCCCCACTTTCGTCCTTGTCTCTCGAGCCCGTATACCCGGCCTTCTCGATATCCGCTGCTCCCCAATCGAAGGTCTCGGCCTGGGCCGACTTCAGAGCTCGTCAGATCCTCACATCCATCCCTTGGGACGAGTTTTAGGGTCTAGGCTTTGTAGGGTTTAAAGTTTAGGGTTTAGGGTTCTCTACGGTTTTGGAGGTGCTGCCCGAGTCTAGCAGCTGGGGCCCCGACGAAAGAAGTGACAGCCTTCTCGCTGTCCTGTGCCGTGCAGCGCTTCCCAGGCAGCCGCACCAGCACGGTACGCAACGAAACTCATCCGTTGCCGTTCCCATCAATATCAAAAGCAGAGATGGCCTCCTTCGGCTGACCGAAGAACTCGCCGACTGCTGAGTAAGGCACCTCCAGGTACGTGGAACGGGGGATGTGCTTTGAAGCAAGAGCCAAGTGTAACACATCCAGGCTGAAGTGGCGGCACCGCGAAGTTCACGGTCCGGAGCAGCCAAACCAGCTTGAGCACCTCGTGAAGTGACTAAGGGGTCTTTGCTTCCGACTTCGACCAGGAACATTCGAGGAGAAACCGAGCCGGTGGAAGTGCACATCGGTGGAGTCCGGCGTGTCTATCTCCCGCGGAGTTTCTGGTTGAGTAAGGGGTCTCCAAAACACAGGAGCCAGCACACCTCTGGGACTATGCCGTCAGATTCGGTTCCAACTGGGAGAAAACCCTTGCTCTCTGCAGATCTGGCAAGTTGAAACCCCCAGAACGGAAGTATGGAACAGGACTAGCCTGGTTGCCCATGGAGCAGGTCTGCATATCACCGAGCACCACGTTTCAAGGAAAAACCGGGCCCTTTCAGGGGCCCTGGCCCACTCCTCCGTTCCAGGCTCCCCGGCTGCGAGGCCTGCTACATGGGGGGTTTCCGAAAATTGGGGGACCCTAACATAGTACCCTAAATAGTAGGATCCTTATTATAAGGACCCCAAATAGGATACCCCCCCTTATTTTCGGGAACTCTCACATGGCTGGTGCTCCAAAGCATCTTCGGCTTTGCAGGCGGCGGGCCTCCGACTGGGGGCACCGGAATGGCCTCGGCCAAGCCCGACTTCTCAAAGATCGCTCGTGCCTGTCCAGGAAAGTGTCAGGTCAAGACTTCAAAAGAAACCTTGGGGTAAGGGCAACTGCATGGTGAGAAAGTGGCACAGCACGCTGCAACCGGCTCCTTCTTTGGGCTCTCCTCGATCTTTCCCATCAGCTCCCACACAGAACGCCGGATCTGCCACCTGAGCTCGAACAAGTGCGACGCTGCGACAGTACTATGCCATTATGCTACTCTGATTTCCGAAGCTCTAGGCCCCTCCCTTCAGTTGCCTTCAGTTTTGGAACGGAAAGGCCTAAAACAGGCTGGGATGCCCGCTGCTTCTGCAGCCTTTCCAGCTCTGCATTGCTGGCTGCGAGCTTTTCGTCGCCTTATACAATGGACGACCCATGATGCGTTAAGATTCGGTTTCGGAAGTCACAGATGCAGAGCTTCGAAGACTTGCATGCAGGTCCGAGGCTCAAGTCAACGGAAATGTTTGGCTCCGGACTGTCGGCGGTCTGAGTGTCGCTGATGAACGCAGCAATTATCTTTGTCAGGACCTGGCTGGATTCGGGGCCGCCCGCCCGAGAAGCTCTCCGAGTGCGACAAGCGTATACGACGCCACGAAACGCTCGGACTGCGGCCGCCGAGCAGAGCTGGGACAGGTGGGCCGGCAGGGGCCGTTCGCTCGTTGGCGGCCTGACGTTCTGACGATGCGTATCGTGTAAACCCAGGAACACACCAAGTAGAGCTCTTCGCGCAAAGCGCGGCTGTAACTTTGACATGAAGCAAATGAAGAAACTCCTGAATCAAGGCCCTGTGAGGCATACACAACTGAGGCGTTCGATTCAGAAGCACTGATCAACTTTCTCCAGGACACTCAAGTCAAGGGCATCGCTCTTGGTCATGTTGCTTTTTCAAGACATGCGCCGCACTGGCTTTTTAGAAAGCTGCACAAAGCACCGCCGGCCTTTCGCTGACGAGCTGCACAGCTTTGCCGGCTATCTGTCAGGAAAGGCTTCTGCAGCAAGTTTGGTCTCAATCCAGTCTGGTAGAGCTTTGCAGATCTGGCATCAGCCAGCAAGACGATGAGGCTATCTCCCTACTCTGCTGAGACTGAAGACCACAGCCCTGAGCAGATGCAGTTCAGACCGCCACCTGTTCCAAGAGAGGCGGCCGTCTCCAGTCACCGTCAAAAGAAAACCAAATTGCCTGCACCTGACAAGATTAGGGCTTTGAGGGTTTAGGCTTAGGGTTTTATGGTTGTAGGGTTTAGGGAAGAATTGAAGGCCACCACAAGGACACCGGCAGTTGAGCAGTTGCACAGATTGCTCAGAAGTGCAGGAAACGGCTGCTCAAAGCAAGACGCTGTGGCAGTGGCTAAACTCGGCTGGAGCAGGTCGCACAGGGACTCCAGCAACAACCTGAGAAGCAACTAACACAAGACTCCAACACCAACAGCCTTTGAAGGTCCCAATGAAGGTGTCTGCACGGACTTCCAGCAGCAGGCTGATCTGCGCTGCACTACAAAACTGGGGCACAGGCTCTAACAACTGCACCGCCTGGCAGGCTTCAAGCTGAAGCGGATTCTGCTCCGAGTTGGCAACGAAAAATCTACAAAAAAAACAGCAACAACCTTGATGCGATGAACTTGAAGGCTGCGGGTAACAAAGCTATACCAAAACCCGCCTATGGAAAGCTCAACAGAGGCAGCCGGGAATCGCAACTTCTTCCACTAGCCTTAATAGCGACTCCCCAAGCAATCTGGGAGCTGCAGCCACATCTTGTCAACCTTCCGGAACCTATGTGTGGTCTACCAGACTCTCGGGTACGCCACTTCGCATCTCCTCATAGGGCTTCAGCTTTAGGCGAAGCTGAAGAAGCTGCACTTCGACAGACCGAGACGTGTCTTATGAGTATGCATGTGCAGCAACTATGGTTGAGGTTTCGCGGCACATCAGTCCGGGGTTTGGCTTGAGGGTCCAGGGTTTGGAGCTTCGATCCTGATCCAGGCTAGAGTTGTGAGTTGCCAGACCAAACCCAGTAGCCACTCACGAAGCCATTGGCACGAGCTGGGCAGCGCGGGCTGCACAGTCATTCCGCAGAGTAACATGGGGCCAGGAGGCGGCACAGCATGACTCCCGAAATGCGCCAGGTGCATGCCGTGACAGACCTTCAAATTCGTTCGTGTCGCAACACACGAAGACGTGATTGTACCTATTACAGTTGCACTACACAGGCATTCCATCGTCTTAGCACAAGATGTTCAACATGGAAGATTTCGTGTGATAAGCAGAAGCAACGGAGCCTCCTCAGGCGGCAGACCCTCGTTCGGTGCTTCTGCCAACAGCGCTTTGACCTCAAACATCGGAATCCGTTTCCACGTCTGGCGATCACTTCTACTTTCTCAGCACCCGCAAGGAACGTGGGCTTGCAGAGTCTACTAAAGAGTCTACGCTTGTGCACCATCACTCGTGGTGAGAGATTTTCCATCCGATCTCAGCAGTCTAATCCGAATGGATTCGACATTCCGGGCCTGATGCTGTTACAGGCACTCCAGGACGTGAGCATCGTTTAAATAAGCTGTTGTAGCGACGCATGGGGCTTGCCATGCTTGCCTCTTGTGGGCTGTTAAAAGAGAGACAAAACTGAGCAATGTGACGAGGCACCTTACCTAATGGAAAACATGGGAGACAGTCCCCCGAGGAATCAAAAGCGGAATGCCAGACGCCCTTAGCCTTAGTTTGCGTCGATCTTGTTCCACACACCGGACGGAAGGACAATGAACTGCTGCGCAAAATCTTCCATCTTCCAGAGCCTGGTCCGCAGATCGCTGATTTTCTGACTGGCGTCGTTGATGTTGTAAACCAAGGATTCGTAGTCGGCCTGGAGCTGCTTCGCGTACTTGTTCTCGTGCTCTTCAATGTCGGGCTTGATGCGGATCACCAAGTTGATCTTCTTGTCCTTTCATGACATGCATGTTTAATGCTAAGGTCAAGTGAGCAGGAAGATGAACTCAGAGCACGCCTACAACTGGAGCTGGCTGCTCCTGCAGAAGAATGGTGCTGTTCGGTAGCGTGGGAAACGGAAACGAGCCATTCGCACGCCAGCGCTCCGGGTGTTCGCCGTGCGGGCCATAGGGCGAGGATGTGATGACGTTTCCGACACCCCAGCGCTTTCGGTCGACAATGGTCTTCATATTCCACACGACCTCCATCTCCTGCAGAAAGGACCCGAAAATGCAACTGTTTGGCACTGCGGTACAGGCTTCTGTCAGTCTCTTTCACCTCTTGCAGTGAAATTCATTAGAACATTGGGCAGAGCATGATGCTTGATGAGCGATTCTATGCAAACCCCCCTCCCCCCACACAGCATCCTTGTTCAGGTAGATCAGGATCTTGTTGATGTAGCGTGCTCTGGGGGGAAGCTCCTGCTTGCGCAGCTCCCTTGGCTCCTGGAATTTTGTGTGCACAGCCGTTGAGGGGTGCAGCTACGAGTTAAGTTGCGAGTGCAGGATGAGTCATGTGAAGGAAGCCTATGGAGAAGAGTAGGAAACAAGAGTTTAGGGTTCAACGTCAGACATGTTGGAATCCTCCTCGGAAAGCTCGGAAAGCCAACGACCAGTGCGGTTCCAGACGACGTCATGGCCCGTGGCGTTTGCAACCATCTGCATCGTGTAGTTGGCGTATCCTTGGCTCTTCTGAGTAGGGTGCCAAAGTTGGTTGTGACGTCTATTGCAAAAGTCGGATAAACAGATCTAGTGAGAAGCACAGTCTCCATCCAGGATCTTCAGGATCTGATACTCCTGCACTATCGGAGTCTGGAGGGGCTTCAGCAGCTTCTTGAAATGGTTCTTGGTCCGGGTGCTGATGTCCC